TTTGGTTACTCCCTCCCCCTCTACCCACACAGCCTCCCCCATCCCTCTGACATTCGCCAGTTTGATCTATGCTTCCATTACATATACTCTTATAAATAGCATTATAACTAGAATTTTTGTAACTATACCATTTACACATTCATTATATTCTGTATATGGTAGAACTCTGAACTCTAGGTTTCAAAAGAATATTTGGTCATTTATTACCCATGTGATTTAGGACAAGTCACTTTTATGCAGATGTTTCTATAAGTATCCACAATGTGACCTGTCTTGTTTGTCTCCTAATTTTTGTTGTAGAAAATTAAATGATGTATAAGAACATACAACTATGAAGTATTCTATAAATACAAGGCACTGTTGAGTAGTCACTTGATGTTTACCTGTTAAATAAGGAGGTAGAGCCGTTTTCATATAACTTATAATTAACTGAAATAAAACAGGGGGAAGACTAACTTGAATTTTAAGAGAGAACACTGGTCTGAAAATATACATTTTCAGAAGCTTCTTTTAGAAGTTAATCGTATCTATTTGCAAAGGCTTTGGTTAGGCCCTGCACTTCCCACAGTTCATTTAGATCAGTTAGGTTTGTTGGAGGTTTAAAAAACATAACTAGCTTGTGTAAAAACCTGTTTTTATGTGTATTGATCTATCATGTATACTTTTATGTCAGCAGAGCTCTCTTTTTAAACCTAAAACTTAAATTATGCATTATTTTGCTTCAAATGTCCTTTTCAGTAGAGTATAACCTCAAGTAACTAATATTGAAAACTTGGATAAATTATGTCTTAAAGGAAAAGAAAACAACCCCACCTTTATTCAGTTCTAGTATTTGAGTAATACATAGCTTCAGAAATTCTGCAGACCCACATGGTTGGCATTTATTTACCTGCCTGGCTGGCCCTGTGTTTGATAAATGCTTTTTCTATAGTTTGAGTGCTTTGACTTCATTTGTGCCCTGGCACCTAATTACTGCTCACTTATATCCTGTGTTCCTTACTGATGAGAGATTGCACGTGATCAGGACATGACTCTTGAGCCTCTGCTAACGTCTCGGGTGTGGCTTTGGGGTCTGATGTGATAATGGAGTGCTAAATCAAGAAAATGTAAAAATTGGTCTTGGACAATTAAAATTCCTTGTACTCTGAAAGGAGCAAACCTGAAATACCTTTGTAGGGATACATCTACAACTCAGGGCTTGTATGACTCTCACATTGGTGAGGGACATGGGCTCTCTGTCCAAAATTACAAACTCTGTAAAGAAATAAGCTATAATAAACTAAAAATAGTACAGTGATAATATAGTGACATAAAATAAACATTATAGGGATACAAGGATTCAAAACAAGTTGTAAAGTAGTATAGCACTATTAAACTTTTTTAATAAGCTAGAAAGAAATAAAAATATATAATCACTGAAATTTTAAACCCATGGACATTAAAAACAACTGGAGAGAATTAGTGATGGAGGAATATTGCGCAGAGAGATGAAGAGATGGGGAATATGAAGTAGGCATGGTTAGAGAATGAGATACCAGTATGTGCATAAGAACTGCTGAATGAAAGGAGAAAATGGGAAACTGGCTAATCATTTTCCAGAATTTAAAACAAGCATGAGCCGTCAGAATAAGGAAGCTTACCAGTTCTGAACAAGATAAATAAAAGCAAATCTGAAGAATGCCTCCATCCCCCTGAAAAAATTCTTAAAGGGAAGCAGAGGAGAAAGGCGGGTTGTCTCAGAGGACTGAGTTAGAGTGACAGCTGACTTATCGTCAGTAACAGATCCCAGAAAAAGAGTATCTTCCAAATGCTGAGGGAATGACTGTTGATGTAGAAATCTGTATGCAATTAAATTGTTACTTAGTGGAAAAGGAAAGTATTTACTGGAAAGCTATAACACGTGTAAACGTATGCTCACCTAACAATCTAGTTTATATGCTTATACAGCCTAAAGGATATAAACTAAAAAAATTGCAATTTACAAGAAGAAATTAACATCCAGAATCATACTTGGGAAAATTTAATCCGTTTTTTTCTCAAATTGGTTAAGTAGACTAAAATAAGTAGTAGAGACTATAAACAACATTAAATATTTGGTTTAGCTTGATCTAGCTTATCAGATGCAGAAAATAAATTTTTATTTATATCTGGAATAATTAAAAAAGAAACTAAACTGACCAAGTACTAAACATAAGGGAAATCTAAATGAATTTTTTGACTATAGTAAACTTAGAGATAATAATAAAAAGATAGTGTTCTGCCCCCAGGCCTCTAATCATTTCATTTGTGAACTTAAAAAAAAAAGTTCTTAGTAGTGATTAGAAATTATAATTTGAAATTAGAACTAAACAACAAAAAAATACATATAAAGACTTGTGTGGGAAACCACTAAAATGACTTAGAAAAATACTATGGATTCAAATAGAAGGTAAAATATTTTCTCAAAAAATATTCCCCGCGAAAGGATATTTATATTTGTGTTCTTAGAAACACTCTCATTGCAATTCTCATGTTTTCTTTCTCTTGAACATGAAAGTTCAAGATAGGCACATTGACCTGAAGTGCCTTTTAGTGCATGTGAGTTCGGAAAGCTCAGAGCTCATCTGATAAGAGGCAAAGAAATCTAGCACAGATCCAGTGTTAAAAAAAAATCACTTAAAGAATAATACACTTTGGCTACACTACAGATACTAGAATATATCCCAACAGTACAAATAGGAAAAATGTCCTCTAATATTTTATATAAATGAATACTTGTGGCTTGGGATAAAAATTTATTAATAGAATAATTAAATGAAAAAGTAGTTATGTAATCAGGAAAATTTACTGTGATTCAAAAAATTTTGACACACTCATGTCTCGTGTCAGGAGTTTGAAGAAAAGTGTTCTATGAAATGTGATATAAAGCAAACAGTATTCTGAATCAATATTTTACAGATCATGTATTTTAATATTTATACTAATATATATTTGATTACATATTCAGATACAAATTTTAAAATATTCTAACTGGCAAAATAGGATCACTTTATATTGGAGCTGCCTTATACTTGGACATATTTAGTTTATGACCTTAATGCACGTAAGAGAAAAGAAAAACGATAGGAAATTATTTAGGTAACCTTTCAATTGTAGGGATTAGAAAATGAGCCACAGAGTAAAGCCAACTAGTGAAGAGGAAAATGTTGATGATAGAAATTAACAGAAGAGAAAATTATATAAGAAACAAAATCAAAACTGGCCTTTACACCAATAAACCAAGCAAACTTCTGGCAAAGTTAATCAAACAAAATGGAAGGCAAAAATGGAATGAAAAGATTATACCTCTAGATGTAGTAGAGAAAAAAATCATGAGAGAATACAATGTATAACTTTCTATAAATATATCACCAAGACTTACAGAGAGCAGACTCAGCTGCAGGGTCGGGATTTAAGTGTTTTGGCCATGTTATGTTTGAGAGAATCCTTAGATGTTGAGCAAGCCAAGTTAGCCAGGCAAGTTCTGGAGATATGTAGATTCGGGAGTTACTAGCTTATAAATGATGTGGAAAGCAGGTCCATTTGGAGGCTTTTTATAGGACCTGAGATGATAAGGATCTGAACTAAGACACTAGTAGTGGGAGGAAGAGGCTATAGAATTAGAAAATAGAACTGAAGTACATTTCGGTTTGTGCAAGTAGGTGCCTGTAGGAAGAGAATGCCTATATCATTTCCTAGCTAAGAGTTAAGGAAATGATGAGTGAGGAAATAAGGCGCTTAATACTGCAGCAGAATTTCATAGCCCTGTAGATTAGATAAAAAATAACTCGGAAGGAAGTTCCCTCTATAGAAAGGTTTATTGGCATGTGATTGAGTAAAATTTAGGGAAACGACCTTACTTTAATGCTTTAATTTTATTTCAATTAGGAGAATTTCAGTTTTACATAATTATAGCATCTTAAAAAGCAACTGATAGTATAGTTTTAAAACTAATTTTATATTAATTTAGTTGAAGCTAGTATAATGAATAAAGTTTCTTGGCAAAGATATTACCAGTATAAGCTGATATTCAAGTAATAATTTATCTAATATTCTTCTCTATAGGTTTTCAAATTGGAATTAAACTTTTTTTTTTTTTTATGGACAGTGCATAATGAATGATTAAGAATGTTTAGCCTTCTGGTAGATTTGTAGGTGGGGGGACCAATTTTGTTAGATATTTTTAAGAACATTTACCCTAAAACAACAGCATGATGGTTTTACTGGATTAGGATTCACTTCTTTTGCCATGGAGAGAGGATACAATTTAACATTGGTTTTATCTACATTTCAGTGAAGGCCACTAGCTTATTGGTGAGTAGCATGCAGATTGTTATTGTGCACACTGTGGCTGTTTTGTACACTTTAGTTGAATAAGCTACTTGTGTATTTCTTCTACTTGAATTTTTAAATTTTCAAGAAAAAAAAAGTTATTTTTTATAGTTTGCATTAATTAGACTTTCCTTTTGTCTTTGGTAGTACAGAAAAAAAGTTGAAAAGTATTTTTTAATTCATTCTTTTTAGACTCTGAATCCATCTATCCTCACCTTGATTGTCAGCTGTGTCTACTGAACTGGATCTAGGGGTGAACCTGACTCAGACAGCATTCAGGCCCATAGCAAGCTTGTTTCCTTGCTGGATGTTGTCTCTAATTAAAGTTTTAGTTGGTGATCAATATGTTTTATATTGTTATTTGACATGCATGCTGTTTTAAATCATAACTATAAATATTTTTAGAGAATGTGAAATGATAATAGAAAACATTGAAAATTACAATAAAATGAGAGTTCTGTGTTACTTTAAACTCACATTTTAAAATGTTAATTTTTTAGAATTGTATACCTGAAACATATAATTTTATTAACCAGTAACCCCAATAAATTCAATAAAAATTAAAAAATAAAATATTTTAATTTTTATTTTATTCTATTTATGCATTTAAATAAAAGCATTATATTAAAAAGATAATAGATCAATTTTGCTTTTTTCCCTTTAACAGAAGGTGGCAACAGGATTTATAAAAGTGAATTTTTAAAGAAGGTGAAAAAGAGAAGGAAAATGCCGAAACCAGTAAGTGTATTTTATTTTACTTTTGACACTACTTACTTAATAGATAACATAAGTTCCTTTTGGAACAAGGCAAAGTATTACGATAGAGTTGTTGGGAAGAAAAAAGTATTGATATTACTGATAATTGTTTTATGTTAATGTGGTTAGAGTGCAGTATTTTGTGGACCAGTGAAGAAGAGGTATTGGTAACATTGTAGTTAAGATTAAAATTCATGGGTTCTGGGATCAAACTGTCCTAGTTCTTGCTCTGGCTCTGCTACTTAATTTGAGTGCCTTTGTGAGGTTAGTTCAGTTTCTCCAGGTCTTAACTTCCTCATATATAAAATGGCGATGAACATTGTGGGGATCAGAAGTGGGTACACATTCAGTGTCAGTGAGCAACAACTTACTTTTAAACAGGAGGGATGAGAGGTTTGTGCGTTATTAATCTTCTCATAATTCTGGCTGTGAGACCGGTGATGCCAATGCTGATGTTACAGAGTCTTACATGTTTTATTTAAGGGTATATGTGTGCTCATTTTACGTAGTTTATAATTATGTAGCTCTTGACTGAGTTAACTCCTCTTGTCTTAGGATAAATGTTCTTTAACAAAATTTGGGGTTTTTTCAGCAGTTTTCTTTTGGCCAAATATTTTTTTAAGAAAATTGTTGGTTATAGTTACTGGAATGTTCTGGCATGGACATCACTTTGGAATTACTTTAAGGCTCAGGAGGTAACAAAGTGCATTATTGTCCGAGGTAGAAAAGAACAAAAAGAAACAAAACTCATAACTGTCAGAAAGGAAGAAGTAAAGTTTTCTATCTGCCAGTGACGCTTTATGGAGAAAATCTTCAGGAATGAGCTAGTAGAACTAATAACTGAACTCAAGATTGTTGGTAAAGATGTGAGTCACTGGGAACTAAGGTATTTCTCAGAGGAATGTGCAAGTTTGCAACTGCTTTGGAAAACTCCTCTGTCAGTATAATTGAATGGAGAACATTCATTCCTTAGGGTAAGGATTCAAACGTGTCTATATAGTTTGATACAAATATGTGTTGTTAATGCATAAAAATTATGGAAGAAAATACTTTAAGATATTAAAGTTAATGTATTTTTTCCTTTAAACTTTTTAGCTCAGAATTTAATTAGCCATCCTAAAGAGTCTAGTTTCTCAAAATGCAAGCTTGGAGAAATTTAATTTGATTTTCATATTTTACACTGATCTTGTTAGCCCAGCTTTATACTTAGTAGATACGTAACCTAGGTCAAGTGACAACTTCTGTAGATCTGGTTGTTGTTTTTTAAGTTTCTGTTTTGTTATTGCTGAGAATATTACAGATGTCCCCTTTTTTATCCAGACTGATCCCCTGCACCCCACATCCATCCCACTCCCAGGCTTTCCCCATACCCATGTCTGTGTTCGTGGGTTATGCTTATAAACATATAAGTTCTTTGATTAATATCTCCTGACCCATACCTTCCTCCCCTCCTTCCCTCTGAGATCCCCCAGTCTGTTCCATGCTTCTATGTCTCAGGATTTACTTTGTTCATCAGTTTATTTATTATATTCCACATATAAGTGAGATCATGTGATACTTATCTTTCTCTGACTGGCTTATTTCTCTTAGCATAATACTTTCTAGTTCTCTCCATGCTGTGCCAAAGGATAAAAGATTCTTGTTTTTACAGCTGCATGGTACTCCATGGTGTAAATGTGCCACGGCTTTTTTATCTACTCACCTACTGATGGGCACTTGGGCTCTTTCCAGGTCTTACCTATTGTAAATTGTGCTGCTATGAACATAGGGGTGCATAAGTTCTTTCTAATTGGTGTTTCAGGTTCCTTAGGATATATTCCTAGCAGTGGGATCACTGGGTCAAATGGCAGGTCAATTTTTAATCTTTTGAGGAACCTCCATACTGCTTTCCATAGTGGCTGCACGAGTCTGCATTCCCACCAGCAGTGTACTAGGGTGCCCTTTTCTCCACACCCTAGCCAGCATTTGTCATTTGTTGATTTGTTGATGGAGCCATTCTTACAGGCATGAAGTGATACCTCATTGTGGTTTTAATTTGCATCTCTCTGATGATTAGCGATGTTGAGCACTTTTTCATATGTCTCTTATCTATCTCTATGTCCTGTTTGGAGAAGTGTCTATTTAGGTCCTTTGTCCATTTTTTAATTGGATTGTTTGTCTTCCTTTTGTTGAGTTGTATGAATTTCTTATATATTTTAGATATTAACCCTTTATCTGATGTGTTGTTGGCAAATATGTTCTCCCATACAGTGGGCTCCCTTTTCATTTTGTTGATGGTTTCTTTGGCTGTGCAGAAGCTTTTTATTTTGATGCAGTCCCATTTGTTTATTTTCTCCTTAGTTTCTCTTGCCCTGGGAGATGTATCAGCAAACATACTGCTATGAGATATGTCTGAGATTTTGGTGCCTATGTTTTCCTCTAGGATTTTTATGGTTTTGTGCCTTACATTTAAGCCTTTTATCCATTTCGAATTTACTTTTGTGTATAGTGTAAGTTAGTGGTCTAGTTTCATTTTTTTGCATGTACCTGTTCAGTTTTCCCAACACCATTTATTGAAAAGACTGTCTTTACTCCATTGTATGTTCTTGCTTCCTTTGTCAAATATTAATTGACCATAATGGCTTGGGTCAATTTCTGGGTTCTCTGTTCTGTTCCACTGATCTATATGTCTGATCTTGTGCCAGTACCGGGCTATTTTGATTACAGTGGCATTGTAGTATAACTTGATATCTGGTACTGTGATCCCTCCAACTTCATTCTTCTTTTTCATGATTGCCGTGGCTATTTGGGGTGTTTTTTGGTTCCATATAAATTTTCAAAGTGTTTGTTCTAAATCTGTGAAATATGCTGTTAGTATTTTAATAGGGATTGCATTGAATTTATAGATTGCTTTGGGTAGTATGGACATTTTAATGATGTTAATTCTTCCAATCCATGAACATGGTATATTTTCCCATTTGTTTATATCTTCCTCTATTTCTTTTTTCAGTGTTCTGTAGTTTTCCAAGTAAAGGTCTTTTACATCTTTGGTTAAGTTTATTCCTAGGTACCTTATTTTTTTAGTTGCAATGGTAAATGGGATTGTTTTTTTAGTTTCTGTTTCTGTGAGTTCATTATTGGTATATTAAAAAAATGCCATCAATTTCTGGGTGTTAATTTTGTACCCTGCTACATTGCTGAATTCATTTATTAGATCTAGTAGTTTTTGGTAGATTCCTTAGGATTTTTTAGGTACAATATCATGTCATCTGCAAATAATGACAGTTTTGTTTCCTCCTTTCCAATTTGGATGCCTTTTGTGTTTTCTTGTCTGATGTCTGTGGCTAGGACTTCCAGTACTATGTTGAATAAGAGTGGTGAAAGTGGACACCCCTGTCTTGTTCCTGTTATTAGGGGAAATGGTTTTAGTTTTTGCCCATTGAGTGTGATGTTGGCTGTAGGCTTGTCATATATGGCTNCCCATTGAGTATGATGTTGGCTGTAGGTTTGTCATATATGGCCTTTATTATGTTGAGGTATGATCCCTCTATTCCCACTTTGCTGAGAGTTTTTATCAAAAATGGGTGTTGGATTTTATCGAATGCTTTTTCTGCATCTATTGATATGATCATATGATTTTTGTCTTTCAATTTGTTTATGTGATGTATCACGTTTATTGATTTGTGAATATTGTACCAGCCTTGCATCCCTGGAATAAATCCCACTTGGTCATGGTGTATGATCTTTCTAATATATTGCTGGATTCGATTTGTTAATATTTTGGTGAGGATTTTAGCCTCTGTGTTCATCAGGGATATTGGCCTGTAATTCTCTTTCTTTGCAGTGTCTTTATCTGGTTTTGGAATTAGGCTAATGCTGCCTCATAAAAAGAGTTTGGAAGTGTTCCTTCCTCTTGGATTTTTGAAATAGTTTGAGGAGGATAGGTGTTAATTCTTCTTTGAATGTTTGGTATAACTCCCCTGTGAGGCCATCCAGGCCAGGGCTTTTGTGTGCTGAGAGCCCTTTGGTTACTGCTTCAACTTCATCAGCAGTTATCAGCCTATTTAGACTTTCTGACTCTTCCTGATTGAGTTTTGGAAGGTGGTATTTTTCTAGGAATTTATCCATTTCATCCAGGTTGTTCAGCTTGTGGCATATAGTTGTTCATAGTATTTTCTTACAATCCTTTGTATTTCTGTTGGGACAGTTGTTATTTCACCTCTTTTGTTTCTGATTTTATTTGGGTCCTCTCTCTCTGTTTCTTGATGAGTCTGACTAAAAAGGTTCATCAATCTTATTTATCTTTTCAGAGAACCAGCTCTTGGTTTCATTGATCTTTTGTATTGTTTTTTTAGTCTCTGTGTCATTAATTTCTGCTCTGATGTTTATTATTTCCTTCCTTCTACTTACGCTGGGCTTTTTTTTTTAATTGTAAGATAAAGTTGATTTAATAATGTGCTTTGATTACCACAAAGAATTACTATTAGTATGAAATGAAAAGGCTTTAAAAGTTGCCTTATAGTGCTTTTTGTTAAGATATTGATAGTGCTATTTGTATTATTCATGTTATTTATGTTAACATCTAATAGGTTTATTTTTGTTACATTTAAATGAATTTATATCTTTTTTTTTTAATCCTCACCTGAGGATATTTTTTCCATTGATTTTTAGAGAGTGGGGGGGGGAGAGAAACATCAGTGTGAGAGAGAGACATCAATTGGTTGCCTTGCGCACGAGCCTCGACTGGGGTGGTGGTCAAACTTGCAACCGAGGTATGTGCCCTTGACTGGGACTAAAACCCAAGACCCTTGGGCCCGAGGGCAAATGCTCTAACCACTGAGAAAACTGGCCAGCGCTAAAGGAGTTCATTTTAAAATTTTCTCAGTTTTAATTTCTGGTGTGGTTTATGTTGATGAACAAAAGTGTTTTGGGATGCTTTATAATTTTTAAGAGTATAAAGAGGTCCTGAGACCTGGCAGTTTGAGAACTTGGGGTCTAGGGGCTTATAATTGAAACTGAGTTCCTGGTGTCTGGGCTGCAGCCAGCAGGAAGGGAGTTTAAAGCATAGGGAGGCATGCTACCTGTGTTACGCCTACGCCTAGAGGCGGCAGGTGTCTCTTCTCACATTCTGTGGGTGAGGGCTTAGTTACACAGCCACACCTGCCAGCAGGAGGCACTGAGAAATGTTTTGTAGCTCAGCCATTTGTCCAGCTATAATTTTATTACATTTTGGTGGTTAAACAACAACCAATCTCTGCCACGATCAGTATGGTTAGTTTAAAGGAGAAAAGTTACATGATAAATGTAGAGGGAGCAGTTGCTAAAATTGAACAACTCTTCATGATTTAACAAACAAAAACCAACACTTGTACTAGATATAGAAGAAAAGCTACAGCAAAAGTTGTTCTTAGTGGGTTAACAGTGGAAGCATTTCTTTTAAAATCAGGAACAAGACAAAAGATACCTACTGTCACCCTGGCCAGTGTGCTCAGTGGTTAGAGCCCTGGCCCTCGGGTTCGATTCCCTGTCAAGGGCATGTACTTCAGTTGCAGGTTCTATCCCCAGCCCTGGTCCAGATGTGTGGGGAGGCAGTGAATTGGTGTGTGTGTCTCTCCCCTCCTACCCCCTCTTCCACTCTGTAAAACTCAATGCAAAAATATCCTTGGGTGAGGATTGAAACGAGGCCCGTACTGTCACCATTGCTCTCAGCACTGAACAGATCCTGTGCAGAAAGAGAAACCAGAAGCTCAGGGACTGCAAAGGGAGAAACACTGTTGGAAGGTGTGAAGGTTCTTCTTTCCGTAAGGGGTTGGCCAGATCCCGCCCACGACATGTTTCTGTGTAGCCTGTAAACTAAGAATGTTTTTACCTTTCCAGTGGTTGAGAAAACAATCACAATATTTCAAATGTGAAAATTATATGAAATTTCAAGTTTCCTTTTTATTGGAAATTCTGAAGTTTTATTGGAACATAGTATCTTTATTATCTATAACTACTTTGTTGCTGTAGCAGCATAATTGAGTCAATGCAGCAGGCTGTGTAGGCTGCAGAGCCTAAAATAGTTATTCTGTGGTCCTTCACAGGAAAAGCTTTCTGGCCCCTGCTTTATATAAACACAAAGATTTGCGGACTCATTATGACAGTTGGCAAAGGAACTGATAAAAAGGATCGATGTAAAAATCAGTTGTGTTTCTACAGAAGCAAAACCACGTGTTGATGGGCAAATAATGAGAACTCTTTCAGTTTCTGTGGAAATGAGCATATCTTCTAGTATTGTTGCAGGGGCTAAATGAGAATATGGAAAACTCGTGACCTAGTGCCTAATATATGTTAGTATTCAATAAATGTTTTTAAAAGAGGACTTCATAAGGTCTTTGTTTTGCAAATAGATTTAAGATTTCCTATGATTAAAATCAAACCTTATCACTTTATCTATTAAAGAAACTATTAGGTGCAATATGGAATTGCTCTTTACTGCCTGAATGTTAACATCACTTTATTTTAGAAATCAGATAAGAGTATTTTCTCTGCCTAATACTTAATGAGTTTACTCTCTTTCGTACTGATTATCCCTTTTGATTTTGTTACAGATCAATGTAAGAGTAACCACAATGGATGCTGAGCTGGAATTTGCCATCCAGCCCAATACAACTGGCAAACAACTTTTTGACCAGGTAAAATTTAACCACATGAAGTGTGCAATTTTTGACACACTTCATGGTGTGCATGCTATTGCACTTCTTTTTGTGTTTTTCTGTACCTTAACTGATAATGCAGCATTGTAGTGCTGGAATTGTTCACAATACCTATTCAGGTATCTGACAGCTGTAGAGATATTCTTTCTCATTCCTAGATTTGAGGGGTAGGATTTGTAAAAAATAACTTAGGTATTTATTTAATCAAAGACATTCTACAAAGTGGAATGAGTGCAGATCCTAGACAGAGGGGATGGCAGGAGCAAAGACATAGGGAATTATAGGCTATAAGTAAGCACCTAACGGCCATTTGCTGTCATAGGCTCGTTTGCTAGCTGGGGGTTAGAACATGGATGTCATGTTAAGGAACTTGGAGTACTGATTTGTTTTTCCTTCCCTGAGTGCACATTTGAGTCACCAGTGGCCTAAGAAAAAAGGGCAGTGCTTAGAAACCACCTCCAGAGATCCCGATTTAATTATCTGTGGCCTATTTTAAACCATTAGTTTTTTTAATTTAAGCTCCTTAGGTGATGCTGTATGTAATGTTCTAGGTAATCAAGTTTAATGAGAAAAGATGGAGAAAGGTATTGGTGCCCAGGGTCAAGCGATTAAGGTGAATTGATGATTGCAAAGAGGAGGAAAGTGATATGTCTTCCATGACCTGAAACTTCTAACTTTTACATAAACTTTTACATATGAGCAAGAGAGCAACAGTCTGTGGTCAGACTAACTTGACTTTAGAGCAGCGGTTTTCAACCATTGTGGTGCAAGAATTTTTGAAACATGCGATACCTATTTTGTCAAGGGCACTGACCTCTTTTCCGTTAGATTGTCAAATAAAAAAGTGACAACAGGCAACAGAACAACATCAGTCTGATGTGAATGAATCAAAATCATATCTATTTTCTCCTGACCAGGTAGCTCGGTTGGTTAGTGTGTCGTCCCAATATGCCAAGGTTGTGGGTTCCATCCCCAGTCAGGGCGCATGCAAGAATCAACCAATGAATGCGTAAATAAGTGGAATAACAAATTGAAGTTTCCCTCCCTCCCTCTCCCTTCCTCTCCCTCCCTCTCCCTTCCTCTCCCTTCCTCATCCTTCCTCATCCTTCCTCATCCTTCCTCATCTCTCTCTTCCTCCCTCTCCTCTCTCCCTCTCTTCCTCTCTCTCAAGTCAATAAATAAAATTAAACAATTATACCTATTTTTTTGTCAGATTGGCAAAAAATATATTGTTTGGTGTGCCGCAAAATTTTAGTAATTAATGTGTTCCATGAGATGAAAAAGGTTGAAAATTGCTGCCTTAAAGAATGGGGGTGAGAGTTTCTTGCATTACAGCAATAAGTAACCAGTTACATATCTTGGTTTTATTAGGTTTATTAGGTGTCATTCTATCAGGTACTGATCCAAAATATAATTAAATAAAATTAAAATTTCCTGGAAAGTTGTTTCTTTTCTTGACAAAGTATATACTTAATCTCCTGGTTGTTGATTAATGATCTTGAAAGCCCTAATAAGGTCTTTTTTGGAAGATGAAAGGCTTTGTGTGTGTGTGAGCAAATTTTTAAAACAAAAATTAGAAGCAGCTGCATTCACCATACATTGTAGATATTTTACCTTGTAAACTAATACCCACTTCTGTTGATTCTCCTATAGCCTGTCTTTATTTGAATAAAAATGTAAATGGAGTTAGCATTTATTGTACTTCTCAGCAAGTTGAAATGTTATTTATATAATGAGTGAAATGCTTATGGTTGTCAGAAACTAACCAGCAAGTAGGCCTTTTTAATATTGACACTGAGAAGTAAAATATTTGTGTTTTATTAAGTAGAATTGCTTTAGTTTGGATACCTGGGAAAATGAAACCCCATTTATTGTGCAGTAATGTAGTCCAAAACTGTGGGCCCTGGAGCTGCACCTGCCTGCACTCGTCCTGGCTATAGCTGTTCGACTTTGGACAGATTCCTGTCTCTGCCTCTTTTTTCTCCTTTGTTCAGTTAGGGTGATGTTAACATTACTCAGGAGGTGATTGTGAGAGTTAATTAAGGCTACATGTAAAGTGCACAGAGCAGTATTCTACATATACACATATGCTGTCTTTCATATTGTAAATGAAGGTCTAGATTAAGGCATATTGTTATCTGTTATGGGCTCTCTCACCAGTTAATTCTTACAGTTGCTGTTCTGTTTCCTGACAAATTCTCTTGAGCCCAAATGCAAGGATCTAAAAGCAGGCTTTTCCTTGGATGTAGTGAGTTTATGGGGTGAGCTGGCAGGTAAGTTCAGGGTTAGGCCAGGAGTGGACCTAGAGATGGGGTCCTTGCAAATGAGGGTACATAGCTACATGAGTCCACCTGAGCAGAGTCTCTCTTCTAATTATGACATTGCTTGAGGCCAGCCACTATGTGTAGGGGGCTCTAGTTGAGGGCTAAGGTTCTTTGCTCCCTGCTGAGACTTCTTCACTGGCCTCATCTTCGAGCCTTCTACCTGTGGGATTATTCATACCCGAAGGAGTGCTCAACATGATCTGTTAGGATGAAAGAAAAAAATATTAAAAATGTTTATATTTTAGTCTTTACTCTTTCAAATTATTTTTAAAATATATGCTTCATAATATATGTGTGATAGCATGTGTATAATTTATAAATAAATATGCATATATTGTAGTTATGTACCCAGGCTTTTTTTTTTTTTTACTTATGCAAGGCGGGGCAAAAGTAGGTTTTAGTTCATATGGAAAATAATTCAATACTTAAATAAATAATAATACAAGGGAAAAACTGCTTTGTGTACTCACAGCTGAAACCTTTTCCCTACCTTGTGCAGGTATGTGATTGAAAGTTTCTGAGAACATTTCCAGAGGTAGACAAAGAGCTGCTGAATATAGGGCCTATTCAGGAATTTCACACCTGAGCTCTCTCTCTTCCTGGTGTTTGTTGTGATAGTCTAAAGTTAAGGTACTGTCCCCAGTGCCTGCTGTGGCAGCTTTGTGAATCCCACAAAGCCTGGAGGCCAAAGCCGAGGCCAGCCACTTGGATACACTGCTGTCTGTTGCCCTTGACCTGTGTAAATTTCCTACCCCTGCCACTCTGAGCTGGAATGTTTTCTATGGCTCTGTTGAAACAACCTGTCTTTTGCCGAAGTTAAATTATCTAAGGTGGTCTTTGTCCACGTTAACGTTTTGTTGTTTGGCATTGATTAACTTTTGCATTAGTATAAATTTTTATATCCCATATCCAGAAATTTCTCAGTTTTGGGTTTTTTTATGGTAACCTTCCTTAGCACAGCAAATGATTTTTCCTATTTTTAATTTTGTGTGTGTCATTTCAGTGAAATTTTTTAAGGGAGGGAAAGTAAACTGAAGGGTTCAGTTTGCTATCTTGAATCCAAAAGCCTGGCATGTTTTTAGGTTTAAAAGTAAAAAACCAAGAATATTTATCACTTAAGAACTAATGTTGACTTTTTCTGTAAAGCTTTTAAAATGTTAATAAATTCTCATCTCCTCTGGCTCAGTTCCCTCATTTTATTTTAAATGTATATATATATACACACACACATATATATATTTTTAAATAAATCTTTATTAATTTCAGAGAGAGGACAGGAGGGGAGAGAGAGAGAAACATCAGTGATGAGAGAGTCATTGATCGAGCCCACAACCCCTGGCATGTGCCCTGACCTGGAATCAAACCCCGATTGCCTGGATCCTAGGTTGACGCTCAACCACTGAGCCATGCCCAGCCAGGCTAAATGTATATTTTTTAAAATATGCTGTTAAGTGTTGGTACAATCCTGGGTATGGATCCTAGTTTACCACTTTGTTTACTCTTAATATATGTTTTTTAAATGTTTTTATTGCTTTCAGAGAGAGGAAGGGAGAGGGAGAGAGAAAGAGAAACATCAGTGATGAGAGAGTCATTGATTGGCTGCCTCCTGCACACCCCCTACTGGGGATCGAGCCAGCAACCCGGGAATGTGTCCTGAGTGGGAATCGAACCGTGACCTCTTGGTCATAGGTTGACACTCAACCACTGAGCCATGCCAGCCAGGCTACTGTTAGTACTTTTGAATGCCTGTCACAGGCTAATCATTCTTTGAGATGACATGGATCTTAAGACAAATAAGGCAAATAATCTCTGTCCTTAATTTTAGACAGTCAAGGAGAATAAATAGACATCCTGCTAATAGAATTAATTATGATATGATACAGTAAATATTCTAATAGCAGTACAGATAAAGTACTGTGGGAACGTCTGGACACAGGTGATTCATTTTATCTGGATAATAGGAGAGCTTCATTCACAGAAGGTATGTTAGTTGAGCTGGGCCTTAAGGAATAAATTATTCAGCAGGTGGTAAAAGTACAGAAGAAACATTCTAGGCAGGGGAAAAAGCATGAGCAAAGCTGTAAAGGGTAAATTCATGGCATGTTCCAAGAGTGGTTCTTGCTCATTGAGGGACGAACATGGAACATACACTGGTGAGTGAAGGGAAGGAGTGGGGGTGAAATCACCAGCAGGGCATTTAAATGTCTTCAGAGACTTGTCACCAAAATGGCACTATTTGCCTTGCCTCACCATAGTGTAGTTGTGAGGGTAAATTGAACATAGGGGTGCATATAATTTTTTCGAATTAGTGTTTTGGGGTTCTTTGAGTATATACCCAGATGTGGAGTTGCTGGGTCATAAGGCAGTTCCATTTTTTAGTTTTTTGAGGAACCTTCATACTCTTTTCTATAGTGGCTGCACCAGCCTGCATTTGTTGTGGGGGTAAATTGAAATAGGAAAATGGGATTATAACAGCTCTTGATGGGATCATGATGGGAGTTGAGAAGGAAAGGGAGGTATAAAAAATGGATCAAATAGGATTGAAATGACACTATAAAATTTAATATACAAACTCTAAGTTTTCAGAAATGTTCCTTTAATTAACATGTAAAATTTCAGAAAGAGCTTCTCTGTAGCAAAGGAATAAACCTGTAATACCTATGTAGTTTGTTTTTCTTTTAAGTATAGTGCCATCTAGTTATAGTGTGAACGTTGAACTGAAATTGGCTTTTTTTTAAGGTGGTGAAAACAGTTGGTTTGCGTGAGGTCTGGTTTTTTGGGCTGCAGTACGTGGACAGCAAAGGTTATTCTACATGGCTTAAACTAAATAAAAAGGTAAAGTATGTATAATAACATTCAGCTAATAATAAAGTTACTTTGAAATTAATGATCTTGAGTTTGTGCCAGAAAAACTTAGGGGTCTGACTGATTCAGGATTCCTTTTGCAGTTATATCGGAATCATTAAAGGTGTCATGCCTTTGAATTCAATAAGACACCATCAGCTTATCCTAGAAAAAGAAGTGTTTGCTTTTCCTGTTTGAAAACTTAGCATATAATAAATATTAGGTATAACTTAGTATTTTGACTTTGATTTAAATATCTGCAGAATAAGCTTCTCAAGAGAAGTTTCATTTTGGTTATTATATAGGGTCTGTGAGTTATAGGTCATATTTGTGAGCATAGAATCTTTTTTTCTCACATATATTTTTTACAGGTTTAAAATCTTACTTACAGATTTAGAATCTTATTGCTGTTTTACATCATACCTAAAGGAATTTGATGTGACTAGATTTCGTTATTTTGAACTTAAGATTTTTGTTGATTATGCTTGAAATTACTGTTCCAGGTGACACAGCAAGATGTTAAAAAAGAGAATCCTTTACAGTTCAAATTTAGAGCTAAGTTCTTTCCTGAAGATGTTTCTGAGGAATTAATTCAAGAAATAACCCAGAGACTTTTCTTCTTGCAAGTTAAAGAAGCTATCTTAAATGATGAGATATATTGCCCACCAGAAACTGCAGTCCTTTTGGCTTCCTATGCTGTCCAAGCCAAGTACGGAGATTATAACAAAGAGATTCACAAACCAGGCTACCTGGCTAATGATAGACTCCTACCCCAGCGGTAAGTGAAATATGCTTTTATGTTATATTCTCTGAAAAAATATATTTCAGAAGTTCGTATATAGAATTTTATTTTTTTAGATTTTAAGTTGCCAGCTGAATCGAAGTATAGTTTTAAAAATCATGGCTCAGTAACTACATAGATTTATATAGTCTGCAAGTACCTGTACCTTCTGCCTCTTTCATTTCCACAAGATAAGCAGTTAAGTGGCGATTTGAGCTTAGGGGAAGATGCGGCCTTGGCTGCTTGGTAAAAGCACAGGCAGGTCGGTGCTTAATGAAGGCTTTTGAGAATAGTAAGTAACAGCCTGTGTTTCTTTCCTCCATAGAACTAAAATTAAGTTTCTAACTTTTAAAAAGGCATTTCAAACTCAGTTTTTCAGACTACTAGTCTTGTGTTCCTTTCTTATCTGTACTATATTGCTGCCTCAGTAAGTTATTTAAAGTAACATGGCATAAGAAAAAAATCATTAGAGAGGACGCCTAGATTTTGAGTACTGGTTCTACTCTTTGGTAGTTATGTGACCTTGGGTGCAAAAAACCCAAAATCCCTGAGCCTTGATAGCAAAGTGGAGATACTAATTCTGCTTTGCCTGCCTTACAGTTTATGATTACTGTACATGAACTGTATGGTGTACAGTTTTAACTGTAAAATGTGTATTTTCTTTTTTTAAAAAAAAATNTGTATGGTGTACAGTTTTAACTGTAAAATGTGTATTTTCTTTTTTTTAAAAAAAATATATATATCTTTATTGATTTCAGAGAGGGGGAGAGAGAGATAGAAACATCAATGATGAGAGAGTCTTTGCTCGAGCCCGCAACCCGGGCATGTGCCCTGACCAGGAATTGAACCCCAATCGCCTGGATCCTAGGTCGATGCTCAACCACTGAGCCATGCTCGGGCGGGCTTAACTGTAAAATGTGATACAAGTGTTAGTTGTTAGCATTACTTAAGAAATTTAGAAAGTACAGTGTCAGATATTATTTTTAAATATCCCAGTTCTTGTACCACACATGTCCTTGATATTAGAATGTATGTGATCTTTTAGAACCAGAGAGAAGTTGTTCTTAGTTCAAATTCCCAAGTTTAAAAATTTCTACTTAAATTCAAAACTGTATATTTTTAACTTAAAATTTCAGTTCTGCACCAGTTTCTCATAGTAGTTAAGCTCTTGGATGTAGTTTCTTTTTCATAGGTACTAATACGAAGAAAAATTAAACTATGTCATGTCCCCTTCTATTTTCCTTTGGTTGAGACATTAATGTTTATTTTCAGCTAACAAAGTGTATTCTGTTGATACATGCTTTATAAGTTAGCGTTAAGTGCAGTAGCTTTAATATTTGATTATTAAATGTTACACTATTTTAGCTGTTAATATTGCAATAATAGTTATCTTAGAGGTAAAACAATGCATGGGTTCACCAAAAGAATCAGGAATGTGAGATACTTACTAGTCTGTATGTTTTGTCTGTTTTTTATTTCAATTCGAAGTTCTTTTTCTCAGATTTTTTTAAGCACTGAATTGAGAAATTGATTATTGGCACAGTATTTCATTTCAGTAAGGATTAGTTTTTATTTTTAATTGAGGTATAATTTATATATAATAAAATATATAGCAGACTAAGTTTTAAGTCAGTACATAAGGTAAATATTATGTATAATCAAAATTACCCTGAAAAATTTCTTAATTCATAAAAAACAATTTTATCTCAACAACTGTAACATAGTAGTTCTTTCAATATTAAGTCAGATTGATAATTGGTTGAGCACCAAAGTAACTGGTTTACATTTAATAGTCACGTGATTTAAAAAAATCTGAAACACTGGAATCACTCTTAAGGACAGTTTCTTATTTTAAATGCATGTATGCTGTAACCACTCTATCTACAAAGAAGGGAGATAGACATGCTCTTTAAGATTTGGTCTTTGACATCGAAAGTCCAGTGAGTTCTTCAAGTTGATAGTCCCTGGAGAAGTAATTCCAGCTGTCGAAGATTAAGAGAGACTCCTAATGTTAGAATACTACTAATTTTTTGGTTCAGAATGAGAAAATTTCACGATTGACCTATTCCATGATAGTATATAGCACACTTTTATATAGCATACTCAGATCATTATCTGAGTATGGGGGGGATTAGTAATCGGAAGGTTATTTGGTGATCATTGATCATAAATCATAGTAATTTGATGATTTTGATGGATGCTTTTAATTCTTATATTGAAAAACCCAGATAAGCAATCTGTTCTCCGACAGTAGAGTTTAGTTTTCTGGTGATGTGGATACTTAGCTCCACCAGACAGTATCTTTCTCCTTTAAAAAGAGCTTGATACACATACATTTTTATATCCCAGGTTTCTGACTTGGGCATCTGGATGTTTGGTAATACCTTTTTGACAAGATGTGGGGGGCAGGAATACATTTTTCAGGAGGGAGATTTCAGTTTTGAACCTATTGAGTTTGAAATATCTACAGTATAATCAAGAGAGAGCTAATGTTCATTGGTCAGTGTGGGTTCAGATCTTGGAGAGCAGTTTGAGCTATGATACAGTTCTGGGAGTAACTAGCACATAGATGGGAAGAAAGAGATGGACCTGAAAGTACATATAGACTAAGAGAAAGGCCTGGGATAGACCTTGTTGGAACTTGACTTTTAAGTACAGAGGAAGAGGCCTGTAAAGTATACTGAGATTAATACCAGAGGAGTGTTACATCATGGAAGCCAAGGCGAAAATGCTTTCTGGAGACTGGTCAGCAGTGTCAAATAGTACAAAGAGGTCGAGTATGAGGGAAACGGATGCGTCTTGGGTATAACAATAAGTAGATTGGTAGTGACCTTAGAAGGAGCAGTGTCCGTAGACTGTTGGGGACTAAAGCCAGATTTTGGTAGGTGGGGGCGGGGGGCAGTGAGTGTGAGGGATGGAATTGAAGGATAGTGAATATGGTGGACAGTTCTCGAAAGAAGTTTGCTGTTTAGAAGAAAAAACTAGGAGTAGCAAAGCATGGGTTTCTAGACGTGTTCTGTAACACAGAGAAAAGAATTGACTTATTTTTAAATTTATCTTTATTGTTGGAAGTATTACAGATATCCTCCCTTTTCCCCCCATTGATCCCCTCCACCACGCTTCCTCCCCCGCCCCAGGCCTTTACCACACTGTTGTCTGCGTCCATGGGTTATGCATATATGCATGTAAGTTGTTTAAAGAACTGATTTTTGGACAGAAGGAAAAGGGGGTAGGAAGTTTTGGAGATCTGCAAATTTAGTCCTGCAGATTTAATAGTACAGGTACATTATACAAAATGCAGACAAATGATATTTGAAATTCAGGATATGGAAAGCTATAGCAGAAGTCTTAGTGGTGTCCAGTTTAATTAACCTGTACCTTCAGATTTAGTTAACGTCAGATACCAGCAATTGGCTGAATTGATTGTGTCTTCAAGGCTGATTGTACTCCTGTTGGTGAGGAGGCGCCAGACAGCAAGAGAGAGGAATAAAGACAAGAAAAATGTGGAAACTTAAGTGCTCTGAGGGAGAAAACAAAACTCATTTCCCCTAAAGCAAGGGCTTAAAAAAGGGTACATAGAGATAGGAACAGTTTGTAACAAGAACATGATGGTCTGTCTGAGACCCCATTAAGGAGTCTGCTCTCAATAGTAACTTGTCCAAGAAGTCCTAAGATTTCTTTATATTGCCAAGAAATCCCTGGGTTTCATGTAAAATTTTTATATAGCAAAATAATATTTTAACACCACAGCTTTTGCTATCAGTAAAGTGGAATTTGGGGATTCACCAATAAAGAAATAATTATTATATGACCCTAAGAGGATAGAAATACATACTCTATAGCGTGCGTAGTAGGAAAATTATATGCATGTTGAATCTGCTGATTTGATGTTAAAATATTAGTAGTAGAAAATACAGTTTGTATGTTTTTATATTTGCATAAGAAACACTGGAAGGATACAAAAGAAACTAATGAAAAGTTATTTGGAGGGCACAGGTGGTGAAAAATGTATGACTTTTCACTTTATATAAAGTATGACCTATAGAAAATAAAACTAAATTTAGCAGCACAGAAAATAAATACATACAGTAAAAGAATGATTAAGGCCTAAGAATTCTGATTTTCAGTCTTTTCTCTAATTTTTCTATTAATAATGAGAGTCATTTTTCCTCTTCTGCCCAATATTTTATTCATTTGAAACATTTGAATTCTTAAACTATCTGTATAATAACTATTTAAAACATGTTATTAAAGTAATTTCAGGATTATAGAAATTTTTTATTTTGAGATCATTGTAGATTCCCATGCAATTGTAAAATATAGAGAGATCCTGTGCATTGTTCTCCCAGACCTCCCTAATCGTAACATCTTGATAACTTCAGTACAGTATCGAAGTCAGTGTTCACATTGATATGATCCACCTGCTTATTCAGGTTCTATCAGCTTTGCATGCAGTCATTTGTGTGCAGGTGTGTGTTTATCCTGTGCAGTTATATTGTGTATGACAACCACCACAGTGAGGGTGGGATTCTAACTTTTAAAGAATATTGACTTACTGTCGTGGGGACATTTTCATAGGTTTTTTTCTTTTTCATTATAGTGTTTTGGAACAACACAAATTGACAAAAGAGCAGTGGGAAGAAAGAATACAGAACTGGCATGAAGAACACAGAGGAATGCTAAGGTATTCGGATGGCTGTTTTCTTGTGTTTTCCTCAGATTAAAGTATTTTTATTTCATAACATAAATTATTACATCAGATTATCCCCCAGAGATCATTTGACTTACATAAATAAAGCACTAAATTTTAATTCAAAGTTTTTCTGTAATTTGTTTGATATATATTGTAATAAGATTTATTTCAACAGGGAGGATTCTATGATGGAATACCTGAAAATTGCACAAGATCTAGAAATGTATGGAGTCAACTATTTTGAAATAAAAAATAAAAAAGGAACTGAATTGTGGCTGGGTGTTGATGCCCTGGGTCTGAACATTTATGAGCATGATGACAAGTGAGTAAACAGTGATCTCGACATTGATCAGTTGGCGTCACTCTCCCTGCTGCTTTTCCCCTTCAAGTTACAAGATTAGTTAATGCCATGTAGGCTTTCAGATATCATATTTTCATTGTCTCAACATCTTGTGGTTTTAGAGTTTACTTTCATTGTATTTATCAAAATGGGAGGATTCACTTTTATTTGAAATGTGCTGCTTTATCCCTTGTGAGTTATGTCTAGTAATGTAATTAAACTTTGTTCCCTCAGTAGGTGAAGCATAATTCTTTAAATGTTACGCCTGGCATACAGGTCGAAATTGAAATTAACATCTATAAAAAAATCAGGAGAAATGAGACAGTGAAATGAAAAGATGTGTGATTTACTGTTTTGTAACATCTTTTTGTTGAACGTTTATAGGAATTGAATATTTTTGGACATTAATAAAATAGAATATCCCTGTATTAAAAATAGTGAACAGTGTAATTTTATTTTGAAATTCACCAGGTATTTTTATGTTAATATAATATACATTAAACTCTTTTAGCACTTTTTGTGTATGATAGCTGCAATTGCTTCATTTGACTTACATATACCTTTCTTTAATTTATTTACCATACCACATAAGCATTCAAGTCTGTGCCAGTAGCATCTCCTCCAAAAGCATTTCGCTTTATTTTGGGTTGGCTCCAAAATTTTAGTTTCATTATTACAGATAGCGAATAAAACACACATTTCTAAGCATATACGTCATGACTCCAAAAGTGAGCATTTTCCTAATTTTACTCTGGTACATTTTTTCACTTATATTACAAAGCAAGTTAAAATGCTCTATCATTCAGGAGGGAAAATTTGAAATTTTTGAAAAACAAAAATAACTTTAAGACTATTATAAGCCAATCTTTTTTCTTTCCTTTAAAATTCAAGTATCTATTAGAGTACTCATTATATATATAAATACAGATAAAGGTGGGGAATATGAAAGAGACAAAGGGGTTAGCTCAGGGCAGAGAGGATTGGGGATTGTGGACAGTGTCCTTTGGTCTCTTCTGTAATTTAATTTTTTTTATAATGAGAATGTATTCATCTATTTCCAAATTTAAAATAAAAATAGGGTGCAACACTAGAAGGCTAGTTAGGTTCTTTTATCAGCTCTGCTTCTAATTATCTTTGTGACCCTGGTCAAGGTATTAACTCTCTGAAATTTGTATCACTGCCAGGGTCACCACACAAAATTGTTGTGAGAATTGTATGAGTAAATACTTCAGAATTTTTAAAAGTAAAATGTAAATATAGTATAATACTGCCTTAAAAATAGTGTTCTAACAGCCTCCCATTTAAGTAGGTGTCTGACTTGGTGGCCATTAGGGAACAGTATAATGCATGCATATTGAGTAAAGAATGTTTTTTGTGGAAAAATTATTTGCTGTACTGCAGTGAGTCTGATTAAGAATGAAAAGGACTCTAAATAGGTAGAAATTCATACTCTGTTATCAGAATTCTGACTCAATATGCCTTCAGGCCAACATAGGTATCACAGTCATTTCATGCTCCTTATTGGCTAGCAGTGACACATTGATGGGTAGTCTGAAACAGTAACATGTATGAAAAGCAGAAACAAAATTACTTGTTCCAATCTGATTTCCTGAATCTTTGTGTGTAGGGTGGTTAATGGGGGCACAACTGTTTTATAGTCACAGGGTTAGAATTTCAGTTCTACTTATACAAACATTTGTGTATATGAGTGTTTAAATTTTTTTTTTAAACTATGTTTTTATTGATTTCAGAGCCAGTAAAGGAGAGGGACAGAGAGAGAGATAGAAACATCAGTGATGAGAGTCATTGATTGGCTGCCTCATGCACACCCCCTACTGGGTATCTAGCCCAGAACCCAGACATGGGCCCTGACTGGGAATCGAACCTCCATCTCCTGTGTCATAGGTTGATGCTTAGCTGCTGAGCCACACCAGCCGGGAGAGTGTTTAAAATTTTTTGTAGGACATATGTCACATACCATAAAATTAAGCCTTTTATTTATTTATTTTATTACTTTTAATCCCCACTTGAGGATAATGCTTAGAGAGAAGAGAGTGAGAGAGTAAAACATCAATGTGAGAGAGAAACACAGATTGGTTGCCCTCCATACACACCTCTACTGGGGATTGAACCCACAACTCAGGCATGTGCTCTGACCAAGAATCGAATTGGCAACATTTTGGTGCATGGGCTGATGCTCAACCAACTGAGCCATTCCAGCCTGGATAAAATTAAGCCTTTTAAAGTATACTGAAAATTCAGTGTTTTTAGTATATTCATAAATAATGCAAACATTTTAAAAATAAACAGGAAATAATTTTTTTATATTTAGTAACATGTCAATTCACATGAAAAGTTATGAAAGCTATTATTCCTCCCCCACCCTCCCTTAAACATATTAAACTTAATGGTTGTAGTAGTTTGACCCTGAGAGCTCAGTTCTACACTCTAGAGCTAGATAGTTTTCTTTAGGTAATTTTAGGAAAATCAAGGTTCATGACACATTTAGGGAATTTTGGGGATAGTTATTCTTTGTTTTATGTGATTTAATCAGATTTTTCCTTAAAAGACAATGTCAAAAATATGTTATGAGTAAGAATAGATTTTGAAAATCTGGAACTTTTAAGACTGGTCATTCAGCTAAATTGCCCCAAAAAAGTTGATAGGAATTTTGTCCATTGTTTCCTGCTTCTAACTAAAGGGATGCTCTCATTTTTTAAGGTTAACACCTAAAATTGGTTTTCCCTGGAGTGAAATCAGAAATATTTCATTTAATGACAAAAAATTTGTCATAAAGCCAATCGACAAAAAGGCACCTGTAAGTAAAATTTTAAAATATTCTTCCTGTCGTGTCAGTTTCTGCCCCTTTGCTATGGTATTACTTGAAGAATGACACTGTTCGTTTATTGGGTTGCTCCTAAGGAATATTCTTTTTCACCTGTGTTTTTAATAACGCAATAATAAATTATTAAAAATACAGAGTTTTCATCTTAGTACAACATACAAATATATAAATATTAGAGTTGTGTTTTAACTGAAATTTAACTATAAGGTATTAGGAGGTGGTTGCAAATAATCAACATTCCTAAGAAGCATAAAAAGCTTGTTTATTGACGTCTGGGATGCAGCAGAGGTGTCCTGTTCTGTATTAATTCTGTTCTGAGAGTTTTGCGTCATGAACTTTGTATTTTTGTAACTCGAAGCCTTACACTTAAATTTTGATATTTAAATACATTCTTTGATTCCTCCAGTATTACACATACTCCCATATTCTGTTAGTTAGTGAAAGACAGAAGATGAGAACAGTTCTAGGCTACAGAACCTGACAGCCCTGAACGAAGGCCAGTTTTGAGATAAATATGGTAAAAGGTAAAACAAACAAAAACCCCACCTGGGATGAAGGAACATATGCTAGTAGTTACTTTGGAGAAGAAAAAATAAAAATAATAAATGACATTTAATGTATTGAGAGTATAAGGTGGTTATCCTCTCCACAAACTGGTGGTGAATGAGAAGCTGAGGAACCGGCTGTGTGAAAGTGGCACACTCACTAGGAGTTCAGAAATTTTATGATTCCTAAACTGTATGTAATGTGACGTCAGAGTTCATACCACACACTGAAATTTAGTACAGATTATTGTGAGAAAGACTATCCTTTAGAAAGATTTTAAGTTTAGAATATTTTATGTTTAGGATTTTGTTTTTTATGCGCCTCGTCTGAGAATCAATAAGCGGATTTTGGCCTTGTGTATGGGAAACCATGAACTGTACATGCGAAGAAGGAAGCCTGATACTATTGAAGTACAGCAGATGAAGGCTCAGGCGAGGGAGGAGAAACATCAGAAGCAGTTGGAGAGGTATGGAATTTACAGCTTTTCCTTCTTGACTGATAGGAATAGGCTCTTTAAAATTTAAGGATGCTCAGTTTCTTTAACATACTCGGAATTTACATTTTCATTGTATTAAAATTGAATAACAGTATTATCACTATCCTCTTTTATAATGAGTATATATAATTTTCACGTTTGAAATCTGACATATTTCTATGTAAATAGCTTTTCATGATTTCACAGATGTGCTTTTTTATGCTTGCTTCTCATTGACAGACATTGACTTGGATGTAGTATGAAATTTCAAGTTTGTTTTGCTTGTGACTTACATTTCTTAATTTTTCAGGGTAAGAATATGCTGGAATTTTTTTTAAACAATGTCATGGACATAGAACTCAAAAAGTCAGTGTACAGAGTACAGTAACACCAATTCTCCCTGCCAGCAACACTGATCTTTGTAACCATGGTTCACGTAGACTTTCAAAAGAAGATACTATTATCTATATTAAATGGAGAGCTTTTGAAATGGACAGATTAAGTAAAATTCTTGTCCAGCCTAGAACCATATTACTACGTGTGACAGCAAAATTCCCAAATCTGTTTCTAGATTAATTTAAACTTTATGCTTTATTTGAAAAAATTTAGACACTAAAGTTAACCTTTATTAAAGAAATCTTTGTAGAATAGCATGATAATCCAAGAAATAGAGTAAGTCCTAAAGAAAACAAAATTGAGGATACCTAAGTATATGTAAATTTATGTAGTTTAAACATACTGGAAATTATACGATTTGAATCTAATAAATAGGCCCGCTGCTAAATACAATTTTGCTTTTTATACTTTCAGTGTTTGTTTTTAATGATGTAATTTTTTTTTCTTAAATGTTCTGTGTAATTCAGATCTTCTATTAATTCAGATTTCTCCCCTCAACTCATTTGCCTTAGAAAAGTTTACTGTATTATAAAACATTTTTTATATAGGTATGAAACTTTCCAGTAATTTCTGACCTACCATTAAAGATACTAAGTTGGATTGTTACCTAGACTGGGCTCTCATTTTGTACTGCTCTCATGTGGCTTAGAATCCCATTGTGGTTCTAGTATTACATACTTTCTAAAATAGTTCTTTATTGGGCTTTACTTTCTACAAGGTCTCCCAAAATACGAATACACACTGTAATAGTTGATAGCTCAGTTTTGAAAATGAGATGTATTTTAATAAACACTGCCTTTATAATTATTCAGAGTGTGTATACACATTTTTTTGGGACACCCTGTATCTATATATATGTTCAGAAGTTACAGCTTTCCTCTGTGGGGTTGGTCCCAGGGCCCCCATGGACGCCCCGGTGCCCTATAGAGAGCGGTGTCGTATTTCCACATGACCTGCGCACATCCTCCCCGTACTTTAAATCGTCTCTAGATGACTTGTAATACCTAATATGATGCAAACGCTACGTAAATGTGATGCTGTATTGCTTAGGGAGCAATGACAAGGGAAAAAGTCCTTACATGTTTCCTACAGACACAGCCATTGTAGGCCTCAGTGCACATCAGCAACAACAGAACTTTTTTCCAAATATTTTTGCTTCACAGTTAGTTAAATCCATGGATGAGGAGCCCACGACAGAGCGCCGACTGTGCTCTCGCATGCTCATCACTCCGTGCCCTAACTGTTCTGCTTGTCTGTAGTGTGGACACATTATTCACTTTCTGGAATATATTCATGAACTTGTTCTTTATTTCTCACATAGAGGGGTGTTGTTGGTTTTAATATATGTAGGGTGATTTGTAAGTACCATTTGGTGATGGGACTATGTTTTAGTTACTCTGAGGCCTGGATGAAAGTGGAGGACTTTATGTTTCTTTTATGCCACAATAAGAATCCTCTGGTTCCTATCTTGGATAAATTGTACAGCCTTTTCATTAGCAAGCATTGTACACAGTAGGAATTCAGTAACTGTTTAATTCATTTGGATGCCTAGAGGATGTTTTATATTAGCAATGTAGGGGTGTGGCAGGTTTCAGAAATGGCATGCCAGGTCTTCATTTATCCCCTGCTTTACAGGTCAGAGAGAGAAATGACAACTGTGTATGTGGAAACAATTTTGGTCAAGCCCATTGGCAAAGTAGCCAGCCAGACGTACTTGGGGGAATGCTCGGAGCTGTGCAGCCTGTGCTGCTGGACTCTTCTGGGCAAGAAGAGTAGTTGGGATGGGGCAGGGCAGCGAGGAACCTCTTTCCCTGCAGCACCTTGGTGTATGTGCTCCTGTTCTTTCCCATAACTCTCCCCACTTCAGGTTTTTCACAGTGGAAGTGGTGTTATACGTTAAATACCATGGGTTACTGATGCCTGTAATCTGTGCTCTAAAGTTATTTGCATCCAAATTGATGATTCATCGTGTAATTCTGGATGTTTTTTGTATGGCTAAAATTGTTACCAAATTTAAAAAGGAAGAGCCTGGAGTTTACAATTTAGATTCAGATGCACTCACGCTGGTTGTGGGTTAGCTATGGGATATTTTGTGTCATGGCTGGCTGCCTGTGTCATTAGGACACAGCTGGTGTCATACAAAGGGTAATATAATACAGGCTTTGGAACTACATACATCTGGGTTTGAATCCTCATCTAACACTTGCTGAAAACAACTTCTGAGCCACTGTTCTCTTACCCTTAATATGAAAATAGTTGTTCTATCTTCAAGGGTTTTTGTAAGAAATAATGACAGTGATTGATATATAAACATTTAATAGTAGCTATTATAATATTTCTTAATGTTGTTAATACATAGTCTGAATAGAAGTTATATGTTAGTTTTTTTAATGTTTTTGTTGATTTCAGAGAGAGGGAGAGGGGGAGAGAGAGAAACATCAGTTGGCTTCCTCCCATATGCCCCCTATTGGGGATTGAGCCCACAGCTTGGGCATGTGCCCTGACTGGGAATTGAACCAGTAACCTTTTGGTGCATGGATCGACGTTCAGCCACTGAGCCACACTGGCAGGGCTATATGTTAGTTTTTAATCTTCACTTAACAAAAATGTAATTGGGCCCATCTGATATTCTTTAAAAAGTAATCTATTCTGAAATGTTTTCTTTTTTGCATGTTAGTACAGAGAATTGGTAGTTTATTAATATGTTATTTACATTCTTGAAGTAGAACAACTTGGTCACATTAGTGTTTCCAAACCCAATCTAAAGAAAAATATTTATGGTTCAGATTTGTGTCATTACACAAGAGGCTTAATGGGGAAAGTGGGACTTTACTAAGGCTTTAAAGTTAGAATTAGGCTTGAGAATTAGAGGGGGAGGATATTTTCAGAAGAGGAAGCCAACATAAGCAAACATGTAGATAAGAACATGCACAGCTTGCCTAGGGGCCAGTGGATGTACCAGGTTGGTCCTCCCTATTCAACATTGTTTAGGGGACAAGCAGGTTCATTTCATGAGGGAGACGAGACAGACCTGCAAAACTAGGTACGATTGAGGGATGTGGAGAGCCAAAGGCGTTTGTTTCCATTGAATGCAGCGCTCGTTGTTGATGGCTGCAGTCGTGAGAATTCTTGTAAGATGTGAGACACAGGCTTTGTAAGAGTGCAGCAGAGTAAACTGTATTGTTTTAAATATTATAATCAAGTTAAATATCTGCTGTACGTTTATTCCACATTTCAGTACAAAGGCTAGTCCCCTCAACCCCCCATGCTTTTCCTGTTTCCGTATCTCCTCACTTCCCTCCTTGAGGAAGAATGAATGAAACATCAGTAGGGAAAACTAAGTAAAACCAGCACCCATCTCCAGGAGGGGCCACATGGGTGCCAGAGCTGGACCTGACAGGTTGAGCTCCTGGCATATTATCGAAGCCTTTAGTCTTGAGATGTGGTTTGTGGTGTGAGCCTCAGGGAGGAAGGTCACTGCCTGGGGAGCTGTGGCAGCACTGGATGTGGCTGAGCAGAGGCTGGGAAGCTGATCAACAACATCCAAGGGTGAAAGGCAGCTTGGCACGGGAAAAAAGTACCTCTTGCTCATATTAGCAATTACTTGAAAAGTACTGTGCTTTCTTTGCCTTCAGGGGCAGCCTGCATTTTCAGCTTTCTATAGAATACAAAAAGGGCAGCAGTCTCTGGGGGCCACCAGGCCCTTCTTTTGCCCAAGGAAATTGAGAAACTCAAACTTTCATTTAAGCCTCTATCACACTCATATCTTCTAGAGGGGTGGGGTCTCCTAAGTCCTTAAATTTCTGCCTGCACGTACTTGAATGTACTCTGTAGATCAAAATAGGAGAGGAAGGAGGAGGTGAATGTGCCGCACAGGGAGGCCATTTCTCGGGGTGGGTGGCTAGGTGTTGACTCTTCCTCTTGGCTGTTGAGGAAGTACCTCTAGGGAACTCCAGAACGTAGGCGGAGCTCCCCTTGAATGAATGAACTTCAGGCCCTAGAATCGTAAATGCTGTGAGGATTCATTAAACTAGTTGTGGAGGTGTGGTGACTCCTAAGGTTTGGTTTGGTGCACAGGAGATCACCATCAGGTGTCTATCTTAACTCTTGCTGACATCACAATTCTACCTGTTTGCCCCAAAGCTGGATTCTTTTTCTGTGCTGGGAGCAGATAGGTATGAAGGAGTTGCAGAAATGTTTAAATTTGGGTTTTACAGAGGAAGGAAAAAAAACTTTGCTGATAAGTTTATCAGAGATGGAAAGTTGAGAAACTACATGGCTTTGTGCCTGGCATTCAGAATGGACACCAGCTGGCAGTGGTGCCTTTTTGGGGGATTATTTAGACATATTCAGGTAAGTTTCAGAAATGAAAATATAATCCATTTTTAACTTAAATGTTTTTCCATTAAAGTAATGGCGATATTGAATGTTGATTAAACTTACTAAGTAGGTAATATTTCTGATGATTGACATAGCATCTCATCTAATTCTTATTTATCTTTATATTTTTGGCCCTCGACATACAGTCAGACCCATGGTAGGCTCTTGGCAGATGTTCAGTGAACGATTTTGGCTATATTTAAAAGAAACGGTCTGTTAGGCCCATGACAGATGCAGCTAACTGATGGAGGCTGGCTGTTCCACCTAGCTCTCATGATGACCTTTTGAAACAGCATTAGATAGCTACCTACTTTCATTCTATTGGAATTGCCACAGGAGACATAACTGATTTGACCTCTTGTATCTATCTAAGCATAAATTGGTTCTATCTTAAAATTTAAGCTTGGGTTAATTTATTGTTGATTGAAAATTGTTGCTCTCCCAGGCTATTTTACTGTTTAAAATAAAACAGCTTTGTGTGCTCCCTTCAAGCTCCTGCTAAGCTACAGAAGTCATGTTTTGGGGTATGGCAACTGTGCAGTTAACTCCTTTTGTGCTGATCTCTAATTTATTGCCAAAGTTCATTGTGTATGCAAGTGATAAATCTCCTGCCTTTTTTTCTCCACACAAGTCCGCATTAAGAAAGTGCTTTGCACACAAGGGATATATTTGACAGTTTTACTTTCCTAGCAGTTTTGAAAATTTGTCCTTTGAGACTCTTTCTAAAATGGCTCAGTTTTTAATATTTTTAAAGTAGTGATTGATTGTTTATTATGACTCCATTGTAGGAAACACATTATAATCCAGTGTATGTGTAAGTTCCAGGGCACATCTATATTTTTGACATGATTTTTTTTTTTAACACAGCTGAATATAATGAAGACGTAATATTTATGCTATGGTTTCTTCTCAGTTGATTTACAGTACTTAGATTTTATGTAACTATTTCTAGTTATTAATTTGTAACAAAGCAGTTGCAATTCCTTTTAAGGGCGCAGTTAGAGAATGAAAAGAAGAAAAGAGAAATAGCAGAAAAGGAAAAGGAAAGAATAGAACGTGAGAAGGAAGAGCTAATGGAGCGTCTACGGCAAATAGAAGAGCAGACCTTGAAAGCCCAGAAAGGTGAAAGTTTCTCTTTGACATTGGATTCGCAATTGTTGCTCTGTTGTCAGGTGTAGTATTCCTTCTACTACTACGTCTTACCTTACAGAGAGTAATTACGTTTCATTGCCAAGTTAAACTTAGTGGAATCACATCATAAATGTGTTGAAAGCAGTCAGCCGTTCGGTGCTTATGGGTTCTCTCTTCTGTCGACTAAACCAGCAATTTCTTTCTCTTGTTCAGGGTTCCATAAACAAGAACACATTTTTGCACTTTATGGCATTTAAACAAAAGCATTTACACACTGCTTTATGGATACTTAAATACCTTAAGGCACTAAGTAATTTAAGGCATTTTTAAGCTATTCTGACTGTGTAACTCTTTTGGAACTCAGTCCTGGATTTGATTGCAGTATATTAAAGAGCACACAACACATAGAAGTGTTGGGAAGAATCTGCTTCCTAAGCAGTGTGTAACCAACATGCTATATAGTGTGTAGGAAGGATACCTTAGATTTGGACAGCATGGTTTATATTAAATAACTCTAGGATATATATACTACTTTCAACAACAAATAGTGGGGAGAACAAAAGAAAAAAACTATTGAGCAAAATAAGATGTTTGCCTCCTTCCAAAGCAGCAATATCCCGGGGCTAGTATGAAATCTACACTGTCTATAAAACTAGAGTTAATACCTGCTTTCCTCACAGCTAGTAGAACAGCCATTAATTCTGTTGGAAATAGAATAAGATGATTATTCTGTTCCTGGTTTATTAAATAACAGCCTTGTATAAGGTTTATTTTCATTCCTTACACCAGCCTGCTGTGGTGGGGAGATGCTCGTGAGCAGCGGGTACAGTAGTTTGCAGATGGGTAGCTAGAGGAGGAAGTCGCAAAGATCGCTGTCCATCCACAAACTGCTTATCATTGTAGTTCCTAAGAGGAACGGAAATAATTTCTAAGGGAAAAAACTGAAGAAACTTGGTTTTATTCAGACTCATTCTGATATTTTTGACAGAACTGGAAGAACAGACTAGAAAAGCTCTGGAACTGGACCAGGAACGAAAACGAGCGAAAGAAGAAGCGGAAAGGCTTGAAAAGGAGCGACAGGCTGCGGAGGAGGCCAAGTCGGCGATCGCGAAGCAGGCTGCCGACCAGATGAAGAACCAGGAACAGCTCGTGAGGACCTTAGTTCTTTCTGTCCTAGAGAGAAGAAAAGTGTAGACAGAAGCAGGAGGGAACCTTGTGAAACTAAGTATATATTACGCCTTTTGGAAAGCAAACCGAAGATAGAAGTAACTTAATAACAGTGTGGAAATAAACCTAAAAGTATGAAACAGGATAAAAGATAAAGGGAAGCCTATTGCTAGCAAAAGATTCTGATTCACTTAAACTTTACATAAGCCACTGGCATGCTTTGTTTTAGATAAATTGACAGTGTATTGTAGCCTCTATAAGGTAGCTGTTGGCCGTAACTGACTGGGTTTTGTTTGTGTAGTGGACTTGCAAGTAAATGGTAAGGAGCAGGCGTGACACTTGGGAGATCCTGGAGTTGAGCAGTGGCCGGGCACTCACTTGCTGTGTGTCTTTGGTCTTCCTGAGTCTCAGGTCCCTACTTTTGAGAAAAGGAGTAGCGCCCCCAATAGGCTTGTTGGGGAATCAAGGGAGATTAGTTGGCAGAGTGCTCTTTAAACTGTAAAGCATTATGTAAATACAGGGTTTTTTCCCTTTGTAGGCTTTATCAAATACTTATCGATAAAAGTAAAAAATAACTCCTAAGTCATACATTTGAAGTCCCTGCTGCTGAACCATGAGTACATTCTTGTCTATAGAATAGTAAAAATTCTTAAACTTTTTCTTATTAGCTCATTAGACCTGCTGTGAATACGGTATTTATGACATTAAAGAAATGCTACCTTTTTAAAAATGGAAGACTAAGAAAAACATAAAACAGCTCAAGCATGTACATTTAAGCTTTGTTGACTTAATATAAGTTATTGAAAATATATTATTTTTTAGTTTTGGTAATTATATTGTCCATTTTAGGCAGCAGAACTTGCCGAATTCACTGCCAGGATTACACTTCTGGAAGTAGCCAAGAGGAAGAAAGAAGAGGAAGCTAATGAGTGGCAACAAAAAGTAATTTATTTGTTCATTCACTGTCATTTATTGACTACTTGCATTATGCTGAATTTATAGAGATGAGTACAGGGCACTGTTACAGTCTGGAGGGGAAGGTACGGGTGTGTGGTAGTAAATGTTTATCTACTGATGTGAGCTACGTGCTCTGGGAACGCAGGAGAGGTGAGTGAGGCAGGTGTGGGGACACGCTTAGAAGTTTAAGCTGGGTCTTGAATAATACATTCGATTTTGGGGTAGAAAGATTAGGAGTGGTTAGAGACTGAAGAGGAAGTCATTGCAGAAAGAGGGAAATGAATGCTTGTAGGAAGTATGAAAGTACACGACAGACCTGAGGGGAGCCAGTGAGCAATCAATTCAGAAATTTTCGGAGATGTGGCTGGAGAGTTAGAGAGGAAATTAACTTGTGGAAGGTTTTATAGAAATACCCTGCTAAGTCGATGGGGAGTATCTATAGGTGTTGGGTTCCAAAGATTTTAAAACAGGATTGTAACATAGCCAGGAATGGTTTTATAAAAATAGCTTCACAGTCAGTGTGAAGGGTGGATTGGGGTAGTGGGTAGGATTACTTAGAGCTAAAGACCCAACCTAAGGATGTGGCTGTGAGAATAAAGAGGGACAGGAATTGTCAGGGACATTCATGGTCGATTCAGAAGGGCCTGGCAGCCAGGTGATTGGCTGTAAAGTTGAATTAGAGGGAGGCAGTGAAGGTGATTCTGAGATTTCTAATACGAGTTCTAAGTAGATGAAACTACAGTTGTCTGAAATCACACACAAGTGAAAACTAAGGCTTTAGTTGAGGGGTGGGGAATATAAGATGATGACAACTTAATTCAAACTTTAGATAACATTAATGCTTAAATGTATACTTACATGACTTTTCTTCATTCTTAAATTTTCTTTGTAGCAGTTTAAATTTCATAGAAAAGTTTTTGATATATTGAGAATTAGTATATATGTATGTATAACTGTACAAAAGAAATAAAACTCTGTTAACCCACCTGTTACACTATCTTTATTAGAATTTTATAGAGACACTTAAACTTAAAAATAATTCACCACAGGGCAAATCCTGTGAATTCCAGAGATTAGAAAAGTCACACGGACCACATTCCCATACCCTAGGATCACTGTTGTGACACCTCCTTGCATGTCCTTTCAGGGTCTCTTCCTGTTTGCACATGTGTGTCACACATGTACATGTTCAGAGTGAGGTCATACTGTATATACTGTTTCATTTTAGTCAGTTTTCATCTCATCTAATATTAGACTATATTCAAAACATTTTTAAATTTAGATATAATTGACATTATATTAGTTTTAGGTGTCCAACATAATTCATATTTGTGTACATAGTGAAATGATCCAAATTTTTTTCCCTTGTGATGAAAACTTTTAAGTTATCTCTCTTAGTGACTTTCAAATATGCAATATAGTAGTATTAATTACAGTTGTCATGCTGTGCATTACATCCCATGACTTATTTTATAGCTAGGAGTTTGTACTTACTAACCCCTTTGTCATATTTTGCCCACCCCCACCTCTGGTCACTACCAGTCTGTCTCGATATTCAAAAGCTCAATTTTGTGTGTGGGGAGGGGGTGTGTTTAATTTGGTTTTTTGCTTGTTTGTTTTTTTCTTTATTTTACTTTTTTCCATCACCATTAATCCCCCCCTATACTTTCCACATATAGGTGAGATCATACGATATTCGTCTTTGTCTGACTTATTTCACTTGGCATAATGCCTTCAAGGTCCATCCCTTGTTACAAGTGGCATGACTTTTTTCTTTTTTATGGCTGAATAATATTCCGTGTGTGTGTGTGTGTGTGTGTGTGTGTGTGTGTGTGCGTGTGTGTGTGTGTAAATATACACCACGTTTTCTTTAATCATTCATTTATGGACACTCAGGTTGCTTTTATATCTTGACTATTGTAAATAATGCCACCATGTATATGGAGAGGCATATATCTTTTCAGGTTAGTGTTTTTGTTTCCTTTGGATAACTACCCAAAAGTAGAATTGGTGGGTCATATGGTTATTTTAATTTTTTGACTCTCCAGTACTGTTTTCCAATTTATATCCCCACCAACAGTACATACACAAGGGTTCTTTTTCCCCCACATCTTCACCAACACTTATTTGTTATTTTTTTTTATAATAGTTATTCTCACTGGTGTGAGGTAATATATCACTGTGGTTTGATGTTCATTTCCCTTATAATTAGGGATATTGACCACCTTTTCATGTACCTATTAGTCGTCTGTATGTCTTTGGAAAAATGTCTGTTCAGTTCTCTGCCCATTTTTTAATTGGATTGTTTCTTTTTTAACTATTGATATTTTGGATATTAACTCCTTATCAGATATATGATTTGTAAATATTTTCTCCCACTTTTTGATGGTTTCCTTTGCTGTGCAGAAGTTTTATAGTTCGATAGAGTTCCACTTGTTTATTTTTGTTTTTGTTGCCTTTGCTTTTGGTGTCAAATCCAAAAAGTCTTTGCCAAGACCACTGTCAAGGAGCTTGCTGCCTATGATTTCTTCTAGGACTTTAATGGTTTTAGGTCTTAAATTCAAATCTTTGATGCATTTTGAGTTGATTTTTGTGTAGGGTGTAACATAGTGGTCTAGTTTCATTCTTTTACACCCAATTTTTCCAACACCATTTATTGAAGGACTGTCCTTTCTTTGTTTTTGGCTGCCTTCTTGTCAGTTAATTGAACATATATGTATGGGTTTATTTCTGGGCAGACTATATTCAAAATGGACCCAAAAAGTCTTTTGTCTTCTTTTTAATTCTTATCTGAGGATATATATATATATATATTTTTTTTTTTTTTTAATTGATTTTAGAGAGGAAGGGGAGGGGGGAGAGAGAGAGAAAGAAACATCGACGTGAAAGAGAAACATTGATCGATTGCCTGCAGTATGAGACCCAACTGGGGATTGAACCTGCAACCTGGGTATGTGTTCTGACCAGGAATTGAACCCGCCACCTTTTGGCGTACAAGGTGATGCTCCAACCAACTGAGCCACACCAGCCAGGGCCCAAAAAGTCTTTTATAGCTAACTTGCCACACCAGTGTCCAAAGTAGGACTTTGCATTGCATCTGTTTGCTCTAAGTCTGTTTTAAAGTAGGACGGTTCTTTTCATGATACTGAATTATTGCAAGCACCCAGGTTTTACCATCTCCTGTATTTGTCTAGTTGTGTTTTCATGGTGTCATCCAGCTTCTCCTTTTATCAATATTTCCTATAAAGTGGAAGATGAATCCTTCAAGCTTTTAGATCTAAGTTAAAAGTTTTGGGCTATTATGCCTCATAGATGAGACTTTCATATAATTTATAATCCAAATTAGAATATTTTTGAAAGTGAAATGGTGGGGGTGTTATCAATAATTACACTAGGACAACAGTCTGAAGCAGAACTTTTAGGCAAACCAGCACAATAGGGTCACTCAAATAATTGGTGATGGTGGGTACTTCCTATTGCATCATATAGATCACTTAATATCTAGTTAATTCACCATTAATGATTTTAATTGATTATCATATTAGAATAATATCTGGTTCCTTCATTGGTTACGTTTCCCCCTTGTGGCTAAAGTGTAACCTATTAGGTGTGGCACTCTGGCATTATACTAATATCCATTTATCATCAACCATTTGCAGAACAGTTTAGCAGCAACTGATAATCCTTGCCAGAATTAATAATTTTATTAGGGCTTCCAAAGTAATGTTTTTTAAAATTCTGTCACTTCTACCTACTGGCATTCTTCTATAAAAATAGAACTTTCATCAATAGGGCCTATTTTCATTATCTGAAATGCAGTTTCTATATTAGGAAGGATTACTTGATTTTTTAAATCACCGATTTTTAAAGTTGCTGATAAACTTATTTTTAATATTCAGGCTTATGCAGCCCAGGAAGATTTGGAAAAGACCAAAGAAGAGTTAAAGAGCGTGATGTCTGCCCCCCCTCCACCTCCACCACCAGTCGTTCCTCCAACAGAAAATGAGCATGATGAGCATGATGAGAGTAATGCTGAGGCCAGTGCCGAGTTATCCAGCGATGGGGTGGTGAACCATAGAAGTGAGGAGCAGCGCGTCACGGAAACACAGAAAAACGAGCGTGTTAAGAAGCAACTCCAGGTATTTAAAATTTGCAGTTGTCTGCATGTTTAGAGTATAGTTTTTCATTTTCCTTACTTATCAAGACGAAGTTACTAAAATGGAACATTTGATTTTTGGAAGCTTTAACACCAGCTAGCCTTGGGGTTGGCTTGTGGGTGCGTGGCCTACAGGCACGTGACTCTATTAGCAAATATTCACTAGCCTTATGTCTTCAGGCCTTAACTAGTAAGTTGTTCTTTAATCATAGCTTAACCCATGTTTAAAGATAGAAGGCATCTAATGCTGTGTTTAAAAAACAAATGAGTTGAGTTTCTAAACGAAGTAAAGTATACATTAAAAAGCAGTCATTTAATAGACTACCTGTATGACATTAGACAATCTGAATTATTTACTTACTATTATAATTAGATCAAAATAGGAAATTTTGATATTCTTGGACTTTTTCCCCACTAAATTCACTGATTTTTAAATTGGTGAAATCTTTAGATATTAAGAAAATGAAGTGATAATTATAATAAATATATTAAAACTTTTGGAGAAAGTTTCTCTCCTGGTGTAGATTTTAGGTCTTACAGTAACATTACTTTGTAATGGCTACATTAAATTTTTGGTAGTCATTTCAACTATTGTGAGAGAGTTAAAGTTAGATTAATACATGAAGTCATAATAGTCAGTGGGTATAGAAATGCAAGACCATGGTTCTTCTCTACCCACTGTCCCCCTGATTACTAAAAGCAGAACAAACTTACGTCAGATTTCACAATTGAATTTTAAATATACTAAAAAGCAAACTTCTTATATGTACGTTTTTTGTCTTTCAGCCTTTTTCTTAAGTTTTTAAAATCTTAAGAAAAAAAAAATAATAGTCCTGTTTTTTTTTTACACATAGGCATTAAGTTCAGAATTAGCCCAAGCCAGAGATGAAACTAAGAAAACACAGAATGATGTTCTTCACGCTGAGAACGTCAAAGCGGGCCGAGATAAATACAAGACTCTGCGGCAGATTCGACAAGGCAACACGAAGCAGCGTATTGATGAGTTTGAAGCAATGTGAGAGCTGTTCTTTTGCATACATGTTCTTCATAAGCTGAACCACGAACAGAGAAAAGCAGGCCTTTGCAGATGTGATGGAATGCATCCCACCTTGCCAAAGCACTTATACCAGTTTGACTGTGGTGGCTAAAGACGTATTTAAGGGGAGCTTTCAACATTAAGGCAGTGTGACATCATGCTTGGTTTTCTTTTTCTTTTGAGCCAGGGGATGGAGAACAGTGTTCATCACCTCCTTTCATATTTTGCATTTTCAATTTTTTTTTCCTGTTGAAGATTAACACTAATTATCATGTCTGACAAATGTGTATGTGTGATTTAAGCACTTTGTACATTTTGAAGGGTGATGGTGATTCAGTGAGTGTTTAGGTTGAATACTGCGTTTTCCCTTGCCCCCTCCATATTTTACCTCCATGTAGCTCCATTCTCATCATGTTTTTGCAGTGGCCCCTCTCACATTTAGCCATGCCCATAGCCTCACTCTGCTACCTACAGATCATTGGCAGTGTTGCACATGAGGGGTAGGCCACAGGTGCACAGTCTTGATCGTTGTGTGGAAGATGACTGTGAATCATGAAAAGATTAGAAAGTTGAACAGTGTAGTGTGCAACTGGTGGTTAATTTTTTTAATCCCAATTTTATTACATTATTGGATATTTGGTACTTACTGAGTCATCTCTGACAGCTGAATTGATTGGTGTTTCATCTTCTGTTATCCTTTGGGTTTCTTTGCCTCCCGATTCACAAAGGTGTAGACAGCAGGTAGTAGTTCCTTAGGAGAGTTAATTGGTAAATACTACCTGCAAATAGCATCCAAAAGATTTTAAAAGTTTTGCTCTTTCATAGATTGGTTTAGGCAAACAGACATGTAATAAAAGAAAATACACATTTGTTGGTAATTGATTAAAATCATTAAAAACCCTGGACCTTCCTGGAAGGGGGAGCATATGCAAACATCAGTCCCATGCGAGGACAGTAATGCTACCTCCCTGCTACACCTGCGATGACTGGCTGTTCAAACACAATAGTGTGCCCAAGCTCTATGTTTTATAATACACAGTAATACTTCAATCATGAACGACTGTTCGAGGGTTTTTTCCCCCCTCAGAATATCTTAAGAGGGCTACATTTCTAACTGCCTTTTTGTTGAGCTGAATTGTGGGACACTGAATTGTATTGAAATTGTAAGCTCTCACTGGTATACTATCTTCCTGGAGAGGAGTTGTATGTCTGGGTGTGTGTGTGTGTGTGTGTGTGTGTGTGTGTGTGTGTATGAGAGAGAGAGATGTTTGTAGCATGTGAAGAGTGTACCTTCATTTCTTGATAATTGTTACATAATCATTCAGTACATTTGGTTCTTAAATCATTGGCTTATTTCTTTTTCAGTCTCTTAAGAGTACTTAAATTTGGTTTGTTAATCCTGTTTTAGAAATTACAATTTTAGGTAATATTAAGTTCAATTATGTCTTAAGAAATCTTTCCAGTTTGAAAGATGTTCTAATATTCACATGTTCTAACATTTCTTTATTGTAAAATCTGGATTTGGATATAAGGAAAGCCTTGTTTTCTCTGTGTGGTTCAGCTACTTTTCATTTGGTATTATGCATTCAAATTGACATTTATCTTTTAAAATTGCCATTTTATTAAGACATTTTCATGCACAGTGGATTCAAATTGTGTCTGAAAATATCTCTTGTGCTTTTTTGATTTTGCTGACTTTAAAAGGATTAATCTGGGCAGACATTATGAAAAGGAAAGGTTGCATTTAATATATTTTTTGGACTTTGTAGGACAAAATATAACTGGTTAACCTTGAAGTGACTGTTGTACAGTGGTTGTGCACATGCTTCAAAGCACTGTGGGAGAGACTGTTTCTACTTCCACACGTTGGAGGAATGCACGGCGAGCCCTGCTTGCCGTTCATGCTGCAAGGCATACATTTTTACTTCTCCAAAGCACTAAAGCAGTTGCCATGACGGGGAAACGTGGACTACCATTGGATTTTTATTAATTTTCTTCATTTTGAATTGTGTGCACTACCATTGCTACATCAGTTTGATATCAGTGTTGAAAAATTACCAGTTATATTGGCTGTTTATAATCTATTTGTAGATTAGGATTAAAATGGAGTTAATCCATTTTTAAAGCTGTGTGAATTTTTCTAAACAGGAACGATTATTTGCAATATGGATTTTCATAGTGATTAAACCAATTATAACTTTTATTATTAGCAGTTGAGAGCACATGTTCATATAGCAATGTAAAAATATATTAATGAGTATTTGGTAAATTCCAACAGGCTTTTACCATTAGTATAACTGTGTTGTACAATTAAGTTACAGTTACATCTATAATTTTGGATAACATTCATTGGTTAACAATAAAGTGACAAAAACTCATGCCTTTAAGGTCCACTGTTGTTATTTAACATGGATTTTTTGTTATATTTTCTGAAAAGTATAATCTCTACAATTATAATCTTAAAAATGAAAAGTGGTTAGGAAAAATTTCAAAATCCTCATGGATTTACTCTTTCCCCTAAATTATACAGTCTCTTTCGATATGGAAGTAATAGTGATTATTAATTCTGTGGAATAATTAAATAAATTGATAAATCGATTCTTGATAACAGAAATCAGGATTTTTAGTCATTGCTTTTATTGTAGAGTGTTTAGTTTCTTTTTCCTAAGGAAGATACAGTTTCATTGTCATTGATTAATCTCACTATTAAAATGCTAATGTTCTTTAAAGAAGTGTACACTAAGTACATTTATTTAAATACATATTTTAAAGTAGCGTTATAGAGCAGTTACCATAAAGCTAGAAGTTAATTTTCTTTTTAAAAGCTTCTTACTAATTTTTAACATAAAGATTATTCTTAAATAAACAAGTGATAAATGTAAAAATAGGAAAAGCCAGGCGTCTTCAGTTTATAGTAATATTTAACTCACTTTTTTATTGTTGTTCTCAGAGGCAGGTAGTGACTTCTTCTAATCCTGTCAGAAAAGGGAATTTTATAAGATTTTGTTTTATAGCTAATCAGAAATTTTCTTAAAAAACTATAATTTCTACTTACAGAGTATCTTAGATTGTATTGGAACTCTTACACCTGATTATTAGAAAAGAGTTTCAATGTGAGTATTCTGATTAAAATAAAAAATGCCAACCACTTTCTGTCTCAGTTTTGATTATCTTGTTGAATGGTGATCTTGTTAGAAGTGAAGATAAAAACATTTTAGATCCTAAAGCAGCACATCTTATGTACATATGATGAAAACAATTAGTTGTTTTTTTTTAATCTAAAGCTTAAAACTGAAGTATAAGGAATTACTGCCTTTAGCATTAATTTACTGAACTGATTAGTGAACCAAAGCATAGATGTCTTTAATAAGGATAAGGGAAAACATTTAAATATGGAGCTACACTGGTAGACAAGTTTCTCTCTTGTTTGTTCTAAATGAACAGAACTTGAGCATTTTCTTATTCTGTACTTTTTTTAACTAGAAGATTACATATCAAGTGTTCTGATGTGGTTTATCATGTAGAATGACAGTATTTTAGCCTATTTCAAAAGCTCAGTAGATTCCCCAGATGTTTTGGTAACTTCATAAGATGTCAAGGCATTCTGACTCCTCGCACTCAGCACTGGTGACCAGGGACAGTTGGCTCACAGTGTTCCATGTGTCAAAGCTTATCCCTTTCCCACCTGTGACTTTTTCACTTAATTTTAACTCTCATTTTTTCCTAGCGGACCTACTTATTATGCCCATCTTCCAAGATTTTTTTTTTAAATATATCTTTATTGATTTCTGAGAGAGGAAAGGAAAGGGAGAGAGAGAGACAGAAACATCAATGGTGAGAGAGTCACCGATCGACCGCCTCCCACAGGCCCCCGACTGAGGATCGGGCCCGCAACCCGGGCATGTGCCCTGAACGGGAATCGAACCCCGATCCCCTGGATTCTAGGTCGACATTCATCTTCCAAGATTTTTAAGAGCTTCCATTTCCCTCTGGGAAGATCATGAGTCCTTACATTGTTGCCTCAGTATTTTTACCTGCCTTAAGCTCTGTGATTCGAGAATTTTCTGGTTTCAGGTTACTTACACTGCTTTAGGAATTGGAAGTATCCATCATTATTTTCCACAGAATTTTAAGGTCAAAGATCATGACTGAGAAAATTATTACCCTGTGGCACATCTTTTAAATTCAGGTTTCTATTTGGCTCCTGACTTCCCTAGCTACTAAGTGGTTCCAGATTCTTATACAGTGATCATTTAGCCAATACGTTTTTACTAAGTACTGGCTATATCCCGGAGTATAGAAGCAAGATTAAAATGGCTGTGACCCTTTGCTATGGCCTATCTCAAAATGTGTAACTCAAATACTAATTCATCTTAGCTCTTAGACCACTGGCATCAGTCTGTTACAAACACTAGATTGCTTTAAAAATGGCAGCACCGTTTTGTTGAATTGTGTTAATTGTATGCCCAGATTCCTCCGTGCTTGTATCTAGTCACTTGCTTCCATCCGTGTAACTTATTATTTGTATTCCTCTGTTCGAATTGTTCATGTTTAATGATCATTTAAAAATTTAGATGTACTTTGATGTTTATGCATGTCTTTTAGTTTGCTCTTTAAAATAGTGATACTGGTTCTAGTTTATCTTTACTAAGTCTGTATAGCCAACAGTCCATCTTCCAAGTGGTAACATGGGATCAGAGTTTCTGAGATTTATGTGGCGATCCTTGGAAGAGTTCCTTTTGATAAAGCATGGATTTATTATATGAAATTCTTGCACTTTTATAATGTATGCCATAATATTCCTTTTCTTTTTTTACAAGTGAAATTAAGATGTTTTATCTTCTGTTTTAGAACTGGAAATGCATGTATGTCTCAGACTCACAAGGCAATCCATCCTGCGCCCTTTCCTGTTGCTTATACTGAAAAGTCTGTAATTCAAGTCTAGCATTTGAATCTATCTGCCATCATTCCATTTATATTATTATCTACTTTAAAATTTTAGCTATTTTGGATAAAAGATGCAGTTTTGTGATGAAGGAGCTACTGCAACATTAAGAAGATCAATAGAGGAAAATTAGTGACGGAGAGAGACTAAGAATACACAGTCTAGTTTCTCAAGTATGCTTTTTCTTTGATAAATTACTAAATTTTTATTTTATAGCTCAAATATTAAACAGTGGTCAGTATTTAAAGATATCTTTTAAAAGGTGCCTAATTTAAAATTTTTCTTACTTTATAGGAAGACTCATTCTGTACCCATCTGACAAACCATTCATGTATCGTTATTAATAATACGTTTTAAATATTGAGAAGTTAAATGGCATTAGGGGTTTTTGGTTGAATCTTTAATTTTTATTGTGTTAAAATACACGTAATGTAAAATTTTCACCAATTTCAAGTATACAGTTCAGTGATACTAGTACATTCACATTGTTTTGCGGCCACCATCACTCTCCATCTCTAGAACTCCCCAGCCCGCCCTCTTTGTTGTCCCTGGTAACCGCTATTCTATTTTCTGTCTCTGAATTTGACTGTTCTAGGTGCCTCTTATGAGTGGACTCATGTTTGTCCTTTCGTGCCTGACTTATTTCACTTAGCATAATGTTTTCAAGGTTCATCCCTGTTACTGCATGTATCAGAATTTTATTTTTTCAGGCTGAGTAATATTCCATTGTATGTGTGTACTACATTTTATCTATCAGTGGACACATTTGGATTGCTTCCACATTTTGACAATTGCCAACACATGCTACTATGACACTGGTGTACAAATATCTGTTCAAGTCCTTGCTTTCTATTCCTTTAAATATATACCCACAAATGAAATTGCTATGTTTAATTTTTGAGGAATTGCCATACTCTTTTTCATAGCAGCTGTACCATTTTCTATTCCTACCACCAGTGCATAAGGGTTCCAGTTTTTCCACATCCTTACCAACAACTGTTACTTTTGTTTATTTTTGATAATAGCTATTTTAATGGATGAAATGGTATGTCATTGTGGTTTTGAGTTGCATTTCTCAGTGATGCATTTCTGAGTTGAACCATTCTTTTCATGTGCGTATTGACCATATGTATATCATCTTTGCTGAAATTTTTATTCATGTTTTTGTCCATTTTTTAAATTGAGTTTTTTGTTATTGAGTTGTAGTTCTTTATATTTTCTGGATATTAATTCCTTATCAGATAATATGAGTTGCAAGTAATCCCTTACCAGATATATGAGTTACACATTTTCTCATTCTGTGGGTTGCCTTTTCACTCTGATAGTATCCTTTGATGCACAAAATTTTTAAAATTTTGATGAAGCCCAATTTATTTTTTCTTTTGTTGCCTGTACTTTTAGTCTTCATGTGTTTTAAAAAGAAAAAAATAATTTTGATGAAGGTATAACTATAGAGAGGCAGACCAGTACAGGTATGTACACTGGTAAGAGTCGAGAGATGAAGGATAGCCTGTCTTACTGGAGTAGGCATTGGCCCTCTGCGCGCCGACCTGGGTAAAGCTGGAGTGGGTGAGGTCAGAGACTTATGGAGCCTTGAATCCTGTGCTTCACTGGTTTGGGTTTGATTTGCAAACACCTGGTGCCTTTGGGAATGAGTTACAGAAGGGAACTATTACCAAACTGAGGTCCAAAGGAACATTCATGCTGCTGTGTAAGGTCGTCTAGGAAGTTCAGAGAGTGAAGGAAGCCTAGTAGAACTGCGCATCCTGTAATTAGCCTGGAGAAAGGCTGTGGTCCTGAGAGAGTTAAGTCACTACCTTCTGAGGATGTCAGGGATACCTGGATGTAACTTGCTCTCATGTTTGCTATGTGTAGTAGTGTTTTTTCTTCTGCTTATTTTCCAAGTGACCTCTTTTGAGACGGTTAAGGCCTCCGTTTTTATCCAGCCTTTGGGGAATGGGTTTCTCAGTGGCACAAAAGAACTGGAAAGATAACCAAGAAAAAATAGCTTGGATTCTGAGCTCTAATTCCAGATGTTATACCCTCCTGTCTAATTTTTGTAAGCAGTTTCATAGTTTTGAATTGATTGTTTCTCTGGAGTCACATTTAGACACTTAGATTCCAGATGCATTGTCTTCCCAAAAATGTAATGCCTGACCAAGGGTCACTGTGAGTGGACTTGGAATTTTAATACTTGCTTCTAGTTGAAAAACTTACTGCAGAGTGTGCTTACAAGAGCAGTTCTATCCATATCCCTTCTGCTCCCAGATGATCCTAATAATGTCATGACTGGAAGACACATGAAGGGTTTTTAAGAACAGGTTAAGGAGTTAGGAAGTAGTTCTGAAAAGATCATTATGAAGAGATTATATTCACCAAAACACAACTCAGTGAGGATTACCTCAGAATGCACTGGCCGTGACAGCTTTGCGT